GGGGATGACCATGCCGCAATCCCTTCTCCTCCATTCTCCTCTTGGGATCTTGGGCACGCTCGCATACACGCCCCCGGCATGAGTTTAAGCCACCGGGTCCAGGACTCGAACCGCGGTCAACTACGTGGGAGTCCAGCGACATAGCCATTACGCTAACTGCTGGTCCCATCTGCCGGTCCCTTTTAAAAAAATGTTGAAGTGTGATATGGTGGTTAAGGCACTAGACACGGCCAACTGCAGTTCAAGTCCCAGACCTGGTGGCTTGCTTTCTCGCTTTCCCTCCCCCACCACCTTTCTGTCTCTGGTAAGCACATGGGCCGTATAGCAAACTTATAAAAAACCTTTTTTAAAAAAAGAAATAATACATAGAACATGGCCTAGAGAAGGCTTAAATTATTATTTTTTTTTTGAGAGGTTTTTCACTATAGGGCACGTGCGCTCGCCAGACAGACAGAGAGAGACAGAGAGACAGAAAGCGAGAAATCACCCCCCAGGGGGGATGGTCACGCCGCAATCCCTTCTACTCCATTCTCCTCTCGGGATCTTGGGCACGCATGCACACGCGCCCGGCGTGGGTTTTAAGCCACCGGGTCCGGGACACGAACCACGGTCGACTACGTGGGAGTCCAGCGACATAGCCATTACGCTAACTGCTGGTTCCCAGAAGGCTTAAATTATTTTTTAAAAAATAAAAAGTCAATGAACAAGGAGCAGGTCCTGGAGCGAGGGAGCTCAGGTGGACAAGTGGAGTGTGGTAGGGCAGTCAAGGACAGCAGTTTCTTCAACACATGCAGCTCAGGGGCCTGCTCCGTGCCTGGTACCGACTGAGCGTCTAAGACTGTGACAGCTGGACAGACAGGACCGTGTGGCGGAAGGTTGCCGTGATCTGAGAAGACGGTAGCGGACGGGCTCTAGAGGAGTGTGACCTCATGGAGCAGGGTGCAGGGAGGTGACATGGAGGTTCTCTAGTGTAGGAAGTAGTCTGGGGATAGCCTTGGTGAAATATGCACCAAGTCGTTCGGGTCCCAGATCTGGCAGCTTGAGACTCACACCAGGCGTGTGTGTGGGCCTGCCCAAAGTTCTGGGAGGAGAATGGAGAAGGGATTGCAGCGTGGCATCCCCCATGGGGGGTGATTTCTCGCTTTCCTTTCACTGTGTCTGTCTCTCTTTCTCCCTGGCGGGTGTACGTGCTCCCAAAGTAAAACCTCTTTTATTTTGTTTTTTATTTTTATTTTTTTAGAGAGAGATTTTTGCCAGGGCATGTGCACTCGCTGGAAAGACAGGGAGAGAAAGAGACAGAAACTGAGAAATCACCCCTGGGGGGGTGGCCACTCCACAGGCCTTCTACAGGTGACAGTGAATGACTCGCCACCACCATCCAACAACACTCTTTTATTTTCATTTTACTTTCGTGGATATGGGAAGTAATTGTTGGATTTTTATTCACTAGGATGATGTAAAATATCTATTAAAAATGTCTTTTTCTTGGGACCAGCAGATAGTGTAATGGCTATGTTGTTGAACTCCCACGTAGTCGACCGTGGTTCTAGTCCCTGGCCTGCTGGCTTAAACTCACGCCGGATGCATGTGCGTTCATGCCCAAGATCCCGAGAGGAGAATGGAGGAGAAGGCATTGCGGCGTGGCCATCGCCCCCTGGGGGGTGATTTCTCGCTTTCTGTCTCTTTGTTTCTCTGTCTTTCTGGCGAGCGCACGCACCCTATAGCAAAAACCTCTCCCCACCAAAAAATGTTTTTTTTCTTTACTCATGATAGAGCACATGTGTGTGTATGTGAGAGAGATGAGCACCCTCCATCGGGTCTGATCGGACTGTGATCCTCGCCATCCCGCCCTCCAGCCTGTCGGAGCTCGGGCACGCCCCTCTGTGCCCACACACTTCAGGCTCACTGGGCCTGTGATTCAAACTGGTGACTGTATGAGCAGCTTCTCTGGAGCAGTGTGTTATCATGGTGCCACGGGCCAGCCCAAGTTTCCAGTTTAAATAAGTGCATTTTCACCTTAAAAAGTAAATTTGGGGGCCAGCAGGTGGCATGGTGGGTAAGGCATTGGATACTCCCACAGGGCCAACCATGGTTCAAGTCCCGGACCTAGTGGCTTGCTTTCTCACTTTCTTCCTCCCTGTGTGTCTGTTTTTCTCTGATCAAATGAAAATAAATGAATGAATAAATAAAAGTAAATACATAATTCTTCAAAAAAAAAAAAGTAAATTTGAGGGATTGGCAGGTAGTATGGTGGTTAAGGCACTGGACTCCCATGTGGTTGACCACGGTTTGAGTCCCAGACCCACTGGCTTGAAACTCACACTGGGCGTGTGTGCGTGAGTGCTCAAAATCGTGAGAGGAGAATGGAGGAGAAGGGATTGCAGCGTGGCTGATGATTTCTTGGTTTTTGTCTCTCTATCTCTCTGGCAAATGCACATGCCCTATGGCATGAAACAAAAACTCAAAAAATAAAAGTGAGTATGGGATGTCAGCAGGCAGCACGGTGGTTAAGGCACTAGACTCCCACACGGTCAGCTGCAGTCCCAGTCCCTGACCTCGCAGCTTGAAAATCATGCTGAGCACGTGTGCATGCATGACCAAAATCCCAAGAGGAGACTGGAGGCAAGGGATTACAGCATGGCCACCCACCCTGGGGGGTGATTTCTCATTTCTCTCTCTCTCTCTGTCTCTCACATCCTATGGCAAAAAAAAAAAAAAGAATTTTGGTGCCATCCTATGGTCTGGTGGTTAAGGGAACTGGATTCCACATGGCCAACCACAGTTCAAGTCCCAACCCTAGCAACTTGAGAAACACACTGGACACGTGTGTGTGTGTGTGTGTGTGTGTGTGTGTGTGTGTGTGTATGCCCCAAATCCTGACCAGATGGGGAACTGGAGAACGGACTGTGGTGTGACCACTCCACATTAAGAGGTGTTTTCTCAGGACCAGCAGTTAGCATAATGGCTATGTTGCTGGACTCCCATGTAGTTGACCGCGGTTCGAGTCCCAGACCCAGTGGCTTAAACTCACACTGCGCATGTGCGTGCGTGCCCAAGATCTCAAAAGGAGAAAGGAGGAGAAGGGATTACAGTGTGGCCATCCCCCCTGGGGGGTGATTTCTCGCTTTCTATCTCTCTATCTCTCTCTGTTTCTGGCCAGCGCACGTGCCCAATAGCAAAAACCTCTCCAACAACAAAAAAAGAGGTGTTTTCTCCTGCTCTGTCTCTGTCTGGCGAGCACACGTGCCCGCTAGCAAAATAAATAAGAATTTAAACGTGGAACAGTCCCAGTGTATGCCTATACGCCTGTGTATGACAGGAAGGGCGAGGGTGAATGGAGGTGGGGGAACTAAGGTAGTATATGGGTGAGGGAGTATAGAAGCTGTACATGGGTGGGGGGAGATCCATTTGAAATTTAATGAGGAAAGGAGCAGGTGAGCGATTGGTGCAGGTGAGGCTTCTGAGCCACTTGGGCTAATGTGGAAGGAAGGCCTTGATGTCAGCCAGGTGGCTGGGGTGACCTGTGGCGGGGGGCAGGAGCTAGGGCTTAAACTGTCTCTTCTTCCCTTGCAGCCATCGACCTTATCAACAACCTCCTGCAGGTCAAGATGCGCAAGCGCTACAGCGTGGACAAGTCTCTCAGCCACCCCTGGTTACAGGTGATGCAAGGGGGGAAGGCTCACCCATTGGCTGGGATAAGAAAGGGGTGGAATTAGATCCTTCGAGGGATGTACGTCCATTTTCCTTGGAGCCACAAAGTGGGAGGGCTTCCCATTGGCTGGGCTGTGGACGAGGGTGGAGCTAAAGTTCTATTGGCTGGGCAGGTTGGGAAGGGTGTGGCTTCGCCTTTATTGGTACCCAGCCTCCCCCCTGCAGTGCAAAAGGAATTCGGGCAGTGCTCTGGCCACAGCTGGCCACCCTAGATGCACCCCCCCGCCCCCAGACTAACCTTCTTTCTCCGGGCCCAGGAGTACCAGACGTGGCTGGACCTCCGGGAGCTGGAGGGGAAGATGGGGGAGCGGTACATCACGCACGAGAGCGACGACGCTCGCTGGGAGCAGTTCGTGGCGGAGCACTCGTTGCCTGGGACCGGGCTGCCCACTGACCCAGGGCTCGGTGGGGTCCTCCCACCGCAGAACCACGACATGCAGGGACTGGCCGAGCGCATCAGCCTCCTCTGAGACCCAGTGCGCCCTGCCCGAGCTGCCACCATCCCAGCGAACTGCTCTGGGGGAAGCAACTTCCTGCCCGAACTGGATGAAGCATGCATGGGAGGGGGATTCTTTCCAAAGGCCCTTCTGTGTTCCCCCACAATGAAAACGGACTCGTTTCTGGCCCATGTCTCTGACGGTATCACACTGTTGTTCAAGATGGAGTTCACCTGGAAGGACTGTGCGAAAGAAGGCTCCTTGGCGGCCGGGTGGAAAGGGTGGGGGGCCCTGCAGGGAAAGGAGTTGGGAAGGAGGACTTCCCTAAGGCCTCCTCTGGGAAGGAGACTTCAAAAAGTTTGTGGAAAGTAGAACTGTAATATGAGTTTATTTTGGTGCAAAAATGTTTGAAATCTATGAATAGTTTTTACACAATAAATATTTTCCATGAGCTTTCTTTTCCCTCTTCTTTCTCTCTTCAGGTTTTTTATATAATTATTTAATGTTATTTATTCATTCATTTAATTTGACCACAGAGATGCAGAGAGAGAGAGAAAGTGAGAAAGCAAGCAGCCAGGTCCGGTACTCAAGCCATGGTCGGCCAGGTGGGAGTGTCCAGCGCCTTAACTGCTAAGCCACCTACTGGTCCTCTCTCTTCAGTTTTTGCTATAGGATGCATGCGCTCACTGGGCAGAGACAGAGAGAAAGTGAAAAACCATCCCCCATGAGATGGCCATGCCACAGTCCCTCCATTTACCTCAGGATTTTTTTTTTTTTTGGAGAGGTTTTCGCTATAGGGCACGTGCGCTCGCCAGACAGACAGAGAGAGACATAGAGACAGAAAGCGAGAAATCACCCCCAGGGGGGATGGCCACGCTGCAATCCCTTCTCCTCCATTCTCCTTTCGGGATCTTAGGCATGCATGCACACGCACACGCGCCCGGCGTGAGTTTTAAGCCACCGGGTCCGGGACGCGAACCACGGTCGACTACGTGGGAGTCCAGCGACATAGCCATTATGCTAACTGCTGGTTCCCCATTTTCCTCAGGATTTTGACATGCATGCACCCAGCATGATATTTTTTTCTTTTTTTTTTTTCTGTTTGGAGTTTACCCCGCTAGAGGGTGCCTGCACTTGCTGGAAAGACAGAGGGAGACAGAGACAGAAAGTGAGAAAACACCCCCCCAGGGGGGATGGCCACGCCACAGTCTCTTCTCCTCCATTCTCCTCTCAGGATCTTGGGCATGCATGCACACGCGCCTGGCGTGAGTTTAAGCCACCGGGTCTGGGACTCGAACCGCAGACGACTACATGGGAATCCAGCAACATAGACATTACGCTAACTGCTGGTTCCCGTCCCGCATGATTTTTAAGCCACTTAGTCTGGGACTCAAACCAGAAAGTCAGCTATGTGGGATACAGCTGCTTACCCACCCTGCCACCTGCTGGTCCTCCATGAGCTTTTTGGAGAAGCAGGAAGACAGCCAGGAGAGAAGCCCAGGAAGGGACAGTCTGCAGGTAGGACTCACATATGGAGAGGGAAGAGGAACAAGGAGGTGGAAATGGAGAGATGGAAAGAACTCGACGGCATGGAGGACTTGGAGAAGAGCCAGAAATACCGCAGTTTGTGATGAGTAATTCCTTACTCGGTCTCGTTACTGCTAATCACAGCTATTAGCCCTAGCAGTTAGCACAAGTCTGGTCCAGAGTAGAAAACTGATACATAGCGACCAGCAGTTAGCGTAATGGCTATGTCGCTGGATTCCCATGTAGTCAACCGTGGTTCAAGTCCCAGACCTGGTGGCTTAAACTCACGCCAGGCGCGTGTGCGTGTATGCCCAAGATCCTGAGAGGAGAATGGAGGAGAAGGGATTGCAGCGTGGCCATCCCCCCCTGGGAGGTGATTTCCTGCTTTCTGTCTCTCTCTGTCTGTCTGGCGAGTGCATGCACCCTATAGCAAAAACCTCTCCAAAAAAAAAAGAAAAAGAAAAGAAAACCGATACATAATATTTAGCATTCTCGGGGCCGGCAGGTGGTGTGGTGGTTGGGGACGCTGGATTCCAACATGACTGACCTTGGTTCAGGTCCCACACCTGGCGGCCTGCTTTCTCACTTTCCCTTTCTCTCTCTGCCTCTCTCTGGTTGAATTAAAGAAATAACAAATGGAATTAAATAAATCTTTTAAAGAAAATAGCATTCTCTTACATTTTGGGGATGACATCTCTGCACATTGAATGTGCTCATTCACTCGTATTTGCTCACTGTCTGTGAAGCTGGGGACACTGTGGTGACCAAGGCAACCCCATCCTCACTCTCACAGGGTTCACTGTCCGTGGAGGCACAGACTTGTCCCTGGACCGGGATGACCCAGAGTGAGCTGCTGGAACACAGAAGGCGAGCCCCAGGGTCAGGGGAGTGGGCTTCTGAGCTGACCTCAGGCTTCATCTTGGCCTTGAGGTTGTAGGCAGGGGCAATGGCTTGTGGGGTACACAGACTGGAAGGAGACACACAAGCACCTGTCTACCTCGTGCCTGCCTCCCCACTCCTCAGGTCCCCACTGACTCCATGATTCTATTTATTTCTTGGAGATTTTTGCTATAGGGGATGTGTGCTTGGCAGAGAGACAGGCAGACAGAAAGTGAAAAATCACCCCCCAGGGGGGTGACCCCGCCACAACCCCTTCTCCTCTATTCTCCTCTTGGGATCGTGGGCATGCACACACAATGCACAGCATGAGTTTCAAGACTTGAACTGCAGTCGGCCACGTGGGAGTCCAGTGCCTTAACCACTATCCCGCCTGACTCCGATTCTGACCCTCTGCGCTCTGCAGCTAAAGGTGAGAGACCTAAACACGTGTCTGAACAAGTTCTCTTTCACTCAACTGCCAGAGGGCGCATGTGTTTGCCTGAAACGGACACAGAGAGAGGAAGGACCCCTAATGGAGCGTGTTCATGCCGCACTCCCTTCTCCATTTCTCCAGCCTGTTAATATTTTGTTCACGCATGCACGCATGCCTGGCATGTTTTTCAAGCCACCTAGTTTGGAATTTGAGTCGTGTGGTTGGCTGTGTGGGATCTGGTTCTGGGGCGAGCCTTGAACTAATTCCCTTTAAATGTTGGTCATACTCAGACTTAACACACCGTAGTTAAGAGCCTGGCCTGAGCTGGGCTGGCAGGTGGCATGGTAATTAAGGGCACTGGACTTGCACATGGCTGACCACAGTTCGAGTCTAGGATCTGGCGGCTCCCTCACCCCACCCACACTATGGTCAAATTAAAATAAAATAAATGAAATAATTCTAAAAAAAAAAAAAAAAAAAAAAGACTTAGCTGCTGATGGGGGCCAGCTGATGGCATAGTGGTTAATGGATGGATCCTACATGGCTGACTTCATGGCTCAAGTACTCGACCTGACAGCTTGAAAAACAAGTAAGGGGGACCAGCAGTTAGCGTAATGGCTATGGCACTGGACTCCCATGTAGTCAACCGCAGTTTGCGTCCTGGACCCGGTGGCTTAGACTCACGCCGGTTGCGTGTGCGTGTGTGCCCAAGATCCCGAGAGGAGAATGGAGGAGAAGGGATTGCGGCGTGGCCATCCCCTCCCTGGGGTGTGATTTCTCACTTTTTGTCTTTCTGGCGAGCTCATGCACCCTATAGCAAAAACCTCTCCAAAAAAATTAATAATAAAAAATTAAAATAAAAAAAAAAGGCTTAGTAAATGAGGATATCCAAATGGGACATTCCTGAGGGTGTTCTGAGAACTGACACTGCTGAGTAGGGGCTCAGGGACTCCTCGAAGCCTATTCTAAATTCAGTTAGGATCCAGCAGTGTAGACAAGAGAGGGATGAATTGGTCTCCAATGAGACACTGAGGCTAGGAAGCGTATGAAAGAGACTACCCGGGCCCAACAAGTGGCAAGGTGATTAAGGTGCTAGAGTCCGACGTGGCTGGCAGCAGTTTGAGTCCCAGACCTGGCAGCTTGAAATTCATTGTCGGGCACGTGTGTGTGTGTGTGTGTGTGTGTGTGTGTGTGTGTGTGTCCAAAGTTCCAGGAAGAGAATAGAGGAGAGAAGAGAACCTGAAGGCTTAAAAATCATGCTAGGCAGGAGCCAGCAGGTGGTGTGGTGGTTGGGAATGCTGGACTCCCACATGGCCAACTACGGTTCGAGTCCCGGACCTGGCAGCTTGCTTTCTTACTTTCCATCTCTCTCTCTGTGTGTGTGTCCCTCTCTGATCAAACTAAAATAAATACAGTTAAATAAAATAATTATTTTTAAAAAATCATGCTAGGCAGTCCAGCAGATGCCATAGGTGCTGGACTCCCACATGGCCAACCATGATTCGAGTCCCAGACCCTGCGACTTAAAACACATGCCAGGTACGTGTGTGCATGCCAAAACGCCTGAGAGGAAAATGGAGGAGGAGGGTCTGCAGTGTGGCCATCCCCATTGGGGGGTGATTTCTCACTTTCTGTCTCTCTCTCTCTCCAGTGAATGTACATGCCCCATAGCAAAAATCTCTTTCAAAAAAAAAATATATATATACACACATGTGTGTGTGTGCGTGTATCATGCTAGCCATGTGTGCAAAATCTTGAGACTAGAGGAGAAGGAATTGTGGTGCGGCCCCAATTCTTCACAGACCGAGCTCTGCCAAACCCTGTGAAGGTTAGAGTCATGACACAGACACAAGATCCAAGGTGGCTGAGATCTTTTTTCACTAGGATCCAAAGAAACCACGGAACGAGACACCAAATGCCTGGGAGTCGGCCTCGAGGACTGAAGCACGGCCTCGGACCATGGTTGGGTTCTGCTGTTGACGCTATGCAAGAAATGGCTCCCCACAGCAGCATGCATGCTTTACTCCTCTGACAGCCTCGCCCCAGTCGGGACTTCCAGAGGTGCAGCAGGGGCCCCTCGGCTGCCTGCCCCCGGGTGTGTGGCTGCAGGGCAGGAACCCGCACGTTCACTCCCCGCAGCTTTCCACATCGGCAGCTTCATCGGTGAGCACAGTACGAGGTCAGAGAGGAAACCTGGAGGGAGTTCAGAGAGTAAACCTGGAGGATGACTGTGGCGCTTCCGACTCCTCTTGGGACCATCTCACCTGGCCGCCCTCTGGCTTCACATGTTCATTTCACCCCTTTATTCTCTTTTTATCTTCCTAGGAATACTCACCTTGAAATGCCTGATGACCAGAAACCCAAATCAGCTCCAGGCTTAAAAGTCCACTCAGG